GGGGGGTGTGCTGGGCGTCAGGCGCTGCGGCCGGCGGGCCCCGGCGCTGCTGAGCGAGAGAAATGTGAGGCGGCTGCACCACTGCGGCGGCACTGCGGGCGGCGGCGGGAGCGCGCAGCAGCGCCCGCGCCGCCGGGCCCCGGGAACGGCGGGCACGGAGCCTCCGCTGCCTGCCCGCTGCTGCCCGCCGCTGCCCGCACCTGCCCGGGGGCACAGGGGGCCCCGGCACCAGCCCCTCGCAGCCTGCGCTGCCGGCCGGGGGTGTTGCATCAGCCCCGCGCCCAGCCGGGCTCCGCGGCCGGGGGCGGCGGGGGGAGCCGGGGGAGGACTCGAAGGAGTCCCCCGGAGCCGCAGCGGCGGTACCTGCCGGCTCCCCCGGCCGCCGGTCCCCGCCGAGCATCCGGAGCAGCCCGGCGCCGCCAGCCCCGGCCTCTGTGCCCGGTCCCCTCCCCGCGAGGCCGGAGCGGGCGGTGGGCCCGGGGGGAGCGGGGCCGGGGGCGGCCCGGCCGGCCGGGACCATCCCCGTGGAGCCGCGCCTCGGAGCCGCCAGCATCCCCGGGGAGCCGCGCCTGGCCGGGGCAGCGCCGCATCCCTCTGCCTTTCAGATAACCTCCGCCGCTCGGGCCCGAGGAACTGCACCGGGCACGGAGCGGGGGCCGGCGGCTGAAGCGGGACCCCTGCCCGGGGCCAGCGCAGGTAACGGGGCCAGGGCCGGGGGGGACCCTGCGGGCGTGCGGGAGCGCACGTGTGTGTGTGCGGGGATCTCTGCGTGTGCACAGGCGTGTGCTCCGCCGGGCCGAGAGCGTGTGGGGCTGGGGATTGAGCTGCGAGGATGAGGAAGGACGGTTCTGGGGAGGACTGGGGCACCCCCGGAGCGATGGGGGTGGCGGGGGGCTGTGCCGCCCCAGGGGCGGTGGGGGTGCGGGGGGCTGCGCCAGGGCTGTGCGGGAAGGGGTGTGACAGAAGGAGCGTGGGAACGCGGTGACAGTGCGTGGCACTGCTGACCACCCGGATCGCTGCGCTCGTGGGCGCTGCGGGTGAGTGTCTGTGTGAGAGCCGCAGGCAGAGCCCCCGGGGCTGCTGCTGTGTGCGGGAGGGGGAGAACGGATGCTGCTTGTGGGGCGCGGGGTGCGCGATGTGGGGTGCGCGATGTGGGCCCGTGATGGGGAATGGGAGAGGCGAGGCCTCCCTCCGCAGGGCAGGAGCCCGGGACACCCCGGCTGGGGCTGGGCAGGGATCCAGCCCACCCTCCCAGCCCCCGGGCACCCGGGGCTGAACCCCCATGGCCTCTCTCCTTCCGCAAAGGCGGCTGCTGTGCTGCAAGCAGATGGCCCCCCCGGGCCCCCTCCGCCAGGCCTGGCAGCTCCCGGCGGGAGCAGGCATCCCTCTAACAGGATTTGCAGCGTGATGGAGGAGAGCGCCTTCGCCCTTCTCGGAGGAGAGCCGGGCTGGCGCAGGGGCTGCTGAGGGAGAAAATGGCCTCGGGCTGGCTGCCTGCCCCCCATCTCCTGCCCCCCAAACGTCTCCTGTCCTCTCCATCAGCCCCGGGACAAGGGCAGGGGGCTGGGAAGGGGGGGAGAGGAAGGAGGAAGCCGGAGGGAGGGATAATAGCAGGGACAGATCAGGAGCAAGCGATGGAGGTAAAAATAGATCCACTGAGCAGAGGAGGGGCTAAACGTGAGAGAAAACCCTGAGCAGAGGCAGGTCGATGGAGGAACCCCTTCGGGAGGGGCCCTGCAGCCCAGCGGGGCTCTGGGGGACCTGCCCTCCCACCCTCAGGGCAGAAAGGGGTCCCGGGACCCCCAGGAGCAGATGCCTGGGGGAGAATACCTGCCTACTGCCACTCCTGCAGCCCAGGCACGCGGGCGGATGGACAGGACCTGCAGGGCTCCGTTGCCAAATTGCCGGGATCCAGGCGGGCACGCATCCCGAGGGAGCGCTGGCAGCCGGTAGATCCCTGAAGAGCCTTGGATCCAAACCCCTCTCGCTTTTCATTTCCAGCGAGCAAGAAGCTGAGCTGGGGACAGAGGTACCTGGGACCGAGGGGACGAGGTGTGCGGTGTCCTGGCCTCAGGCAAGGTGAGCTGCCCTCCAGCACGGGATGTGCCCTGAGCCCCTGCCCTGTGGGAGCTGCCGGTGACGGCAAGTGGGAGAGCCGGGAAGTCAGAGCAAAGGAATTTGCAAACACATTCTTCAGCGCCACGAGGATCCCATTGCATGTAAACAGGAATACAGGCCGGGCTGGGGCGAAGTGAGAGCTGCCTCCAGTTCTGCAGGACCCTCCCTGGACTCGCCTGCCCTGGGCAGTGCCCGGTGGCACCAGCCCCAAATTTCTGTTCCCGACTGCAGCCGAGCCGCTGTGGGAAGCGGCAGCGAAGGAGAAGAGAGGGGCTGCTGAGCGACTGCCAATGTCACGCTAACATCCCGGCGAGGCTGCAGGGAGCCGGCGCTTTGATCACCCGCCCGAGAGCATCTCGAAGCAGGCAGGATGCCACTGTGAGCCCTGCCTTCTCCTGCCTGCCCCAGCCTCGCTCCTGGCACCCTCGGGGCTGGCTGCAGAAGAGGGGTGCGGGGCCCGCTGGCGCTGCCCCGTCTCCCCAGGATGCTCTCCCGCACCAGCCGCTGCTCCCTGTGCTCCTGCTCCGCGGCCAGACCGAGATTGAAAGCTCAGCAGGCTGCCGGCATGTTTTAGCCTCATGCAGGCGTCCCTCGGAGACCCCAGAGCAGTGGACAGTAATGTGAAAACGATACTCATGTCGTGTCTGAAAGGGCAACAGGTCATCATTAAGATGGAGGCGATGAAGATCATCCACCCGGAGAAGTTCTCGGAGCTCCAGGCGTCTCAGCCGCGCTACGCGCCCGCCCCACGCCGCGAGCCGCCCCTCGTGGCCAAGCGAGCGTGGCCCTCCGAGTCCGAGATCATCGTCAACCAGGCGTGCGGGGACATCCCGGCCCTGGATGCCACCCCCGGGCCGCTGCCGCTGCCCCGGACCCCGCCCCTGCCGCGGCGAGAGCGCGGCTACCAGGGCCAGCGCAAGGGCAGCTCCGAGGTTTGCTACCACCGGCAGCCGCCGTCGGACGAGGTGATCGTCAACCAGTACGTGCTGCACCCCTCGACCCCCTGCGAGCCCCTGGAGTGCCCCACCTGCGGCCACATGTACAACTTCACCAACAAGCGGCCCCGCATCCTCTCCTGCCTGCACTCGGTGTGCGAGGAGTGCCTGCAGATCCTCTACGAGTCCTGCCCCAAGTACAAGTTCATCTCCTGCCCCACCTGCAAGCGGGAGACCGTGCTCTTCACTGACTACGGGCTGGCGGCGCTGGCCGTGAACACCAGTATCCTGAACAGACTGCCGGCCGAGGCTCTGGCCGCCAACCCCGTGCAGTGGAGCAGCGACACCGAGCGCAGCTGCTACCAGACCTTCCGCCAGTACTGCGGGGCCGCCTGCACCTGCCACATCCGCAACCCCCTGTCCTCCTGCACCATCATGTGAGCCTCGGCACGGCGGGACACGGCGGGACACGGCGGGACACGGCGGGACACGGCGGGACACGGCGGGACACGGCGGGACACGGCGGGCGGGACCGCGTCCCCCGGGCCCAGGGAATGCTCCCGTACTCACCGCGCCCCAGGATGGGACTGCTGTCCTCGCCAGCGCTGCCGGGGGCAGCGGGGGTGCCGGGACCTGGCAGCAGCCCCCTGCTCACCGGCCGTGCCCGGGGAGAGGGGCGCTGGCGCGGGGAGCGCGGCTGTCAGAGCGCCCGGCGTGCGCGGCTCCCCCGGCCCCGCTCCCGTGTGCATGGGGCGGCTCACCGTGCTCCTTCCCCGTGCTCCTTCCCTCCTCTGGGGCGGCTCACCGTGCTCCTTCCCCGTCCTCCTTCCCTCCTCTGTCCCCGGCTCTCCCCGGAGCGGACGCTGGGTCCCAGTGACAGCCTCCCCACCGCGCCACGGCCGGCAGCAGCAGCACAAGGAGCCCTGGAGATGCACGGTGCCACCCTGGGCCACCCTCCCAGCACAGGAAGCGAGGACAGGTCCCCAGTTGCCCCCTCCACCCCCTTTCTGTAAGTTATTTGCCAAAGCTTTCATCTCAGTGGCCACGCCGCCGTGTGCCCGAGCCTCAGTAGCCACAGCAAGCCGCCCCGCCGGCCCCTCGGACGCCAGCAGACGCGCGGCCCATGTCCTCCGCAGGCCCTTGAGGAAAGCTCCACTTTGTCCTCGTTTTGGAGGATTCTTGTTTTTCCCCATCCATTCCCAGCCGCCCCACCCCAGGCCACTTCGTGTTCACAAAGGCATTGAGCTGTGCCCGTTCTCTGCCCCTCCGCCCGGGACCCCACACCGATGCCCCATGGGATGGCTCAGGAGGCTGGCACGGGGTCCAGTACCCCAAACTGCTGACTTCAGCAGGGGGATCTGACTGGGCAGGGGGACCGAGGTCTGGCTCCTGCCCACAGTCCCTTCCCCAGAGCAGCACCTCTGCCCTGACCCCCGTGCAGAAGGGCTGCAGCCCCCTGTGCACAGTCTTGCTTTCTCCAGAGCACCTGGAGGGGTAAGTTTGCTGCCAAAAAAAGCAAAAAAACATAAAACAAAAATAAACAAAATAAAGAAAAAGCCATAATTTTGGGTGCTCCCATGGGGCTGAGCACCACAACCCAGCATGGCCATGGCACCAGGGGACACGCTGCCCAGTCCCAGGGCGCTGGGGCTGGGTGAGCCTGAGGGGTCCCAGAACCCTGCATCCTGGAGGAAACAGCAGCTCCTGGCACTGGCCAAGGCCAGCAGCCGTGCAGGGAGAGGGGCCAGTCCATGGCCAGCCCGTCCCGAGGGAGCGGGCAGTGCCGCTGGCGCAGCCCCAGGACCGTTCTCCCCCCGCTGGAGAACGGCGCCGGTACCGTCTCTGTGTTGCTCTGCCAATGCCTCCCGCTGCTGGTTGTGACCATGATCATGTTTTATACCCGGCCTTGTTCTGACCCCCATCAGTCTCCCCAATAAAGATTATATTGGAACGAAGAGCGAGCTGGAGTCTGGGGGCGCGTCACTTTGGCCAGGAGTGGGGTGACACGTCGGGATGTGGCCTGGTCCTGCTCCAGCTGGGGGGCAATACCCAGGTTACAGCTCTGCCCTGGGCTGCCACCTCCTCCTCCTCCAGCCTGGCTTCCAGCTCTGCTGGAGTTGTGTCCCCTCCCTGCCCAGCCTCTGCACATGGCTGGGCACCTTGGGGGACCCTGCCCAACTCGGGGTCCCCAGCCACACCAGGAGCCCTCAAACACCCACAGGATGTCCCCTCTGTCCCCAGGTGATGTGGGGCACCGGGGGGAGGATGTGCCTGTTGAAGGGAGCCAGGCAGGGACACGGGCAGTGCTGGTCCCCCTGCCCTGCTCTGGAGAGGCAGCTGCACCCATGGGCCCCTCTGTGCCCCATCCCCACTGCATGCAGCTGGCAGCACCAGCACATGGCACCCACTGCCTGCCCCGAAGGACCCCGGGGTCCCTGGGATGGGAGCTCCAGCTGGGAGAGCCGGGAATCTGCAGCAGAAGCAGCTGGGATGATGATCAGTGATGACAGTGCAGCTCCCCAGGGCGAGCTGTACACACTGACTGATAGGGGCACAGGCTGCTGTGGGCACGAGCACTGCCAGCCCCCGAATTTCCCTTCTCCAGGAGCAGTAAGTGTTTCTGCCCTCTGCTCTGGGCCAAGGTGGAGCTTCCAAAGCAGCGGCACACCCAGGAGGGTGCAAGAGTGGCTGCAGACCCCTTTTCCTTGTGTGCTGGTTCCCATCCCAGGAATGGGAATGCCTGGAAACAGAACCCCCTCCCAGTCCATGGGTGCTGAATTTCGGCACCAATAACGCAGCTGGTGCCACCCCTGTCCCTGAGGACACTGCATCCTGTCTCCCTGTGCTTACCAACACCCCACCCTGCACCCACACTCCAGCATTCTTTGTGCAGCCTTGGCACAGAGTGGAGGTCTCCTGGTGGCTGAAGCAGCCCCACACTGAGCCAAATGATGCAGCTGCTTGGGGGAGCTGGGACAGCCCCACATCCATCTCCATCCCCCCAAAGGCGCATGCCAAGTCCAGGATAAGGAACTCCAATACCCCAAAAGCTCATACTAAATCCAGGCTGAGCATCTCTGCCCCCAAAGACACCGAAGCTGTGGCCAGCCAGAGCAGAGGTGGCAGAAATTTTGCCCTCAGTAGGAATTTACCCTTTTTATTACATAAGGACAATGGGTACAACGTGTTCTCCCCTACCCTTGTGGCACCTCTTGGGCACAGAGTAAATTTAAAACTGCTAATTTGATTTTGAGTTGCAATTAAGGAAGAAATAGGGCCTTTCAGGAGCAAGTACTGGGCTAGAGCCCATTTCTCCTGCCCTATTAACCTCGAATAAGCACTTGCTGGAAGAGGGGCCAGGTTTGCTGAAGAGGACAGGGACATGGGGTGGTGCCAGCCCTTGTGTCACAAATGCAGGTGAATTAAAAGTCTTTCACATCCCCTGAATGCTCCCAGGGCCATTCTGAGCTTTGTGCCTCCACGATAAGTTTTTTTAAGATCTCCAAGTCCTAGGAGCTGCTTGGCCAGGACATTGCTGCAGGAGCAGCTTTGGCCACATGAGAGCAGAGATGCTCCCAGATGTTCCCAGGTGAGCTGGTTGTAAAATCTCCTCATGGCTGTGAAATCTCCTCATGGTTGTAAAATCTCCTCCCAGGCTGGGATGGAGCTCTGCTCTCGCAGTGTCCAGTTTGGCTGGCCATAGGAGAGGGGATGTGGGGAGTTAAATCGCTCCTGGGATTGACTCTTTTCCCAAATGTCCTCATTTTAGCTGGGAAGCGCCAGGATCGGGTTGTTTTGGGCTCAGCCTTTGGCACGGGTTCAGGGCATGGTGTTTGCCAGTCATTCTCCCCTGTTAGGGAGCACTGGGACAACGCTCCCAGGCTCAGGGTGGGATTGTTGGGGTGTCTGTGCATGGGCAGGAGCCAGACTGGATGATCCTGATGGGCTCTTTCCAACCCAGTGCACTCTGTGCTTCTGTGACAAGCAGCTCCTGCAGCCCGGCCCCAGCACCCCCACCCTGCCCCAGGGGGTGCAGAGCAGGACCAGCTCCCCATGGATGTGAACAGAGGGAGGATCCGGGCTCGGAGCCAGGCTGTGCCCATCCTTGGGGACACCCAGGACATCCTGGGGACACCCTGGGGACGCCCAGCCTCGGCCCGGGGCTCTCACAGCGCCCGAGAGCCGCCCAGCAGAGGGGAAGCTGACGTAGAGCAGGGACATGAGGCTCCCACATGGTGACAGGGTCCCCCGGGGGTCTGAGCTCTCCCTCCCCACAGGCTCCACGGAGCCAAAAACTCCTCAGCCAGGGCTGAACTGGTGCTTCTCCTGATGGAGCTGCTCCACTTGGTATAAATAAATATTCCTTGGTGCCACCAGGGCAGGGGGGGACCCACCTGCTTCTGCCTGCTGACCTGACCTGTTTTGGGGTGCCCTGCTCCCACCCTGTGCCTCAGCATTTTGCCAGAGCAGCCCATGGCAGTGCTGAGTGGCATCAGTGTCCTGGCACAGCCCAGAGCCCCCATCTCTGCCCTCCTGGGAACAATGATGTGGGAATTCTGTGGGGCTGGGTGGGCACAGCAGTGCTCGCTGGCTCCCCACCCCCCAGCTGCTGGGCAGGAGGAAGGGGAAGGGGGGATGGCACCCAGTGGTCCCCCACAGCCACAGCCCTGGGGAGGTGCCCATGGGGCGTTTCTGGGGGAGAAGGGCAAAGGCAGGACATGGGGATGGCTGCACAAGCCCAGGCAGGCAGGACAGGGCACAGCAGTGTCACCAGCCCCTCAGCAGGGCTGGGCTGAGGGGGACACAGAGGGGTGGCAGCACAGGGAGGGGGGAATTGGCATGGGGTCAGCACAGAGCCTTGGCAGGACACCCAGAGTGTGTCCCAGCAGTGACAAACAGACTGCTGCACATTCCAGGCTGTGGAGGTGGGTGTCAGCACCCCCAAAATGGAATCCTGGGAGGACATCAAGGGTCTGACAACTCCCTGCCACCCAGCAACAGCCCAAAGGTGGCTGAAAGCCTGGGAGGATCCCCACCCCTGTCCCCTCGGGTTTTCCCAAGGAGGAACAAGGGTGCAGAGCAGCCACACAGTGACCCAGACACCCCCTGGCTGGTGGGGGAACCTCACACAAGGCCAGGAGCCAAAAGCAGAGCCCAGATCCTGCTCAGCCCTGGGAAATTCCTGCTCCATGGCAGGTCCCATGTGGTCACAGCCCCGGTGCCACCCACCACAGGCTCCTGCTCCCGTGTACGGCAGGGACAGAGCCGTGTTTGCTCTCTTATCTCCCCGAAGGGCATGGTCTGAGCACGGGCTGGCACGGCTCGGCAGGGCCTGGGAGCTGCCATGGTGGAGCTCACAGCCCTTGTAGGGTGGCTGGGGGTCACTGGCTGTGCCCATCCCCTCCTTGTGCCACTGCTGGACCCCCAGGGAACGCTCAGACCAGGCACTGAACTCAGCTGGACACGGCTGCGGTACAAACACAGGCTCT